TGCACCCTCATTTTTGGGAGAATTCATATAAGTTACGTTCACTTTGGATACCATCGCAGCTTGAGCAGATTGGGGAACCTCATTCAGAGCTCGGTTCCAGAACAAAAAGTGGCGCCTCTGCACTTCGAAGGTAGGCATGAGCGATGAAGCAGGCCTTGCTGCGAAAATGATCTGCACAGCTCGCTTAGTCATTTGTGGAAATCCTGGCATGCCTCCAATATATGGCAACAGCCACAATTCAAGGCGGAAGGGACAGAGGATTGTGGTTATGTTCGACTTAACCGTCCATTTTTCCTTGACTTTTCTTATGCAACGTGGGTTGACCATGGTTGAGCTATATTCTGGATGATGTTTTTCATGGTATTTGCATGAGTTTTTCTGAGATTTTGTCAGTGATATCTGAATCTACCCCCTGAAATTCCATAATATGGTGTATCGTTTCTTTGCTCAAGTCATTAATGACTGTATGCTCTGAGAGCTGACAAGCCGAATGTCTTCCCTGAGGATCGACATTTGCCATGTAGTGAATAATGTGCTACAGGGATCCACCGGGAAAGCAACTTTTTCCACCAACGATAAGGACTTGATCATGACCCGAATCATTCTCATTGCTGTCGTAGTCATCATCGTGTCCCAATTGGTGGTCAATGCTGCTTTGTTGTGGCTGTGCCGCGCTGCTCCAGAAAAAACAATTTCTTGGGTACCCAATTCCGATCTATTTTCATAGGTTGAACAACTCACACCTGATGCGTGGTTTGACCAACGTCTGTGCTAACTCGTCACTTAGAGACAAAGCAGGCGCCTGTCCTTATATGTCCTTACTGTGCAGAGCTTCCGCAGTTCTTGAAGCATGGCATGTGGGTGACTGATGCGGTTTTCCCTCCTGTTTTGTTTGAGTCCCCAGCCAGGAATCAAGTAGAAATATGCAAAAAGGAAGGAAGGAAAGGAAAGGGAAGGCAAGGGAAGGGAAGGGAAGGGGAAGGGAAGGAATTCATGAAATGACACAAGAGTGCAAACGTCATCGAGTAATTAACTAAAGCAGGAGGAGGCAAATGGGTGTATGTCCAAGAAAAGTCCAAAAAGTTGCATTTCTACGATTATTAACTAAATGAACTTTTTGGCATCCTATGTTCAATTAAACCCATATAAAAGCATCGAAACAATTGACAGAAAACAACTCTGGTGGCATGCGTGGCAGCAGCCGCCGCCTCACTCTCCGACAAACCAACTTCACGCTTTGCCTGAAAAGAATGCATGATGAGTGTGTCTGAAAATGGGGGTGAACATGCTTCAACCATGAACAATAGGGATCTTTAAATGGAAATATGATGGGGATTCCCGGGATATGAACAAAATATGATGCTACTTATATAATATGCGGCTTTCTCACCATGGGCTCCACGGCAACTCCAAAATAGGGTACCATACCCCCGAGAACCAATGGTTCGTCATTGTCATCCACCATTTTCGGGATGATATCATACTGTCACCGACTCTCACCTGCCTCTAAAAGCAAAGGAATCGTTGCCAATGCTGTGAACCTTGGCTCAATGGGTGAACTCGATGTGCTTGAAGTAATTCAGAAGGAACTTTCACATCTTAAGTGTGTATTGGGAAATCATTGGGGTATTCTGAGATATAGTTGGACAAATATACCCTCTGGCAATCAAACACGGCATTCGAAAATCCACTATACATGCTGATTGAATGGGAAAGTCATCTACAAATGGTGGATTTTCCAGCTAGCCACATTTGATTACCGGAGGGTAACCAAGAAATGTAGATATTAGTGGATTTGTCCGAAAATTGTGACATGTGATGACATGTTTATACCCTGATACTTGGCAATCAATCATTAAGGGAAAAAGGATGACAATCCGTTGGAATTGTGGGTATCCCATCTTTAGACTAACATAACGCAGGGTTACCTTACGGGGTACTTTGATGGCATGCAGTCTAAACATATCTAACCGCGGCAAAGGATGACTAGCAATGCTGTCCTTTTGGAAGAGAGAGAGAGAGACATTCGCTATAAGCATTGATGTGGTGTGGTTGACAAGTTGACACTACATTGATCAACCAACGAGTTGAAAGTGGCCTGGTTAATCATAGTTAATAGTGATTAATAGTGCTTAATATAGTGATTAATAGTGGTTAATAGTGGCTAATAGTGGCTAATAGTGGCTAATAGTCTAATAGTGGTTAATTACCTGGCTGAAATCCCCAACTTTTCTGCTCGGGCCCGCGCACAGCGTTCTTCACAGCCAGAAGCAGCGCGCTTCGAGCGTATCTGTCGAGTTGATCCAGCGGACGTGTGAATCATGCCGCTGTCAACGGCCAAAAAAGGAAGGGCCTTAGCAGAATCGAAACAGGCCGTTACTCCAAATTACCAAATTTGTAGTTGGAAAATCAAATCATGTTAGCCAAATTATTTCACCAGAAAGGGAGAAACAAACAGTTTTTTCTTTTTTAAGAAGAAGTACTGTAGGATATCATTGGGTTTACCCCTTGCCTCCAGAGCGGCTCCGGCAGTTGGTATCTGGCACATAGGCAAAGCAGCTGCCAAAGCAAACACCCGTCCTTGACAGCTGGGAACATGCCCAGCATCTGTGTGAAACATGGAAAAAATGGACGTGGTACTGGAAGAACACGGCTCATCATGATAAATAATCAGTAACTAGCCATGAACACATGGTAAAACCATGGTAAATCATAGCAAGTCCCAAACCTCAAGTGCTTAACAAAACATCACCAAATCAAACAACCTTCAGTTCGTGGCCCGGCCACGAGGACTTGCTTATGTCCTCTCTGTAGTCACAGGAGATCCGGGAAGAGTAGATGAAGGTCAATACAGTGTCCAACACCTGCAGGACTGAGGGCACACATCGTCCTCCACCCGCTCCACATGGCGGTCAAGGTTCTGAAACCTATTCTGAATTCTGATCTGCATGGTTTACCCCCTGCGCGAAATGCCTTTTGAAGGGACTCAAAATGGGCAGCAATCAATTGGGTTCGGACACATAACTCTCTTTCCTTCAAGAGAACAGTTTTGAATCAGTTCATATTTTTGTGCACAATTGAAGGCCATGGAATTGTAAGAGACCCAGCAAAAACATGGCACTGTTGGAAACCAAAAAAAAGATGACGCTCCATCCCAAACCGATAAGAGGCAAGCCATGGATTCAGGGTACAGCCGTAAATGGCACAACCGTTGATGTGGCTATGTGAGCTGCACCTGAAATCAGCATGATATTTGGATATCTTTGGGTCGTTGTCCAAAGCTATGATACTTTAACGTCTTGTAACATCTCTCGCTGTAGCTGCAAAATGATAAAAAAAAAGGAAACGGTTTGGTCCACAAAACATTGTACCATATGGTACCCCTGAAGCCATTTTTTGATCCATATTGAAATAGCATGAAATAGCATGACATGTCACACCCTACCCTCTGGTAATGGCTAACATAGCTATTGAAAATGGCCCAGTCGAAATAGTGGATTTTCCCATTAAACATGGTGGATCTTTCCAGTTCGTTATGTAAACGTGTACCAGAGGGTCCTTGCATCCGATAAATGGATCCTTAAACACCTGGCAGAAATCCGCCGGATCCACCTTGGAACTGCGGCAGCTCAGAGGGTCAATCAGCAACACCCTTCCCGCGGCGGAGAGCTCCTGGTGCAAAACACCTGGCGGAGAAAAGGCGTTGAACCGTTGAACGGGTGGGATGGGCAATGGCAGTGGAACATGAGGACTTAAAAAAAAAAAAAAAAAACTCGTGTGTTTGACCAGAAATTGGGTCTCTCCGTATACATCCGTATATCTATGTCAAAAAACATTGGGAAGATTACGACCTGGCGCTGGGTTTTGGAGTATACTTTGCACAAACCATTGACAAATCTGCGGTACAGGAGTTCAGGAAGTTCAAACACACGCTTTTTCCACCGTGCTCTCCAACGTGCTATTCATGCAGTGGTTCAATGCATCTTTCCATCGAGCCACCTGAGCATATCATGGAGAATATCAGAGACGCCCAGAGATTGCTATTGCTATTGCGCTGCTCAAACGGGCTCACATGGGCACTAAGAAATGGATACAAATGGTTGAGCTACTCATGAACAATCAAACTTCGATGGTGCGAAGCTGAACAAATCATAACAAATCAAACTTCGAGTGCAAAAAGAGCTACCAAGAACGAATGCAAGATGCCTCTTTGCCTCCACAACTGGTCAGTGGAGGGTGAGACAAACAATGGAACCCAAGCACTGCTGGGAAGAAACTGACCGATACGTTCCCTGGTCATCCCTGGTCCCCGCAACAGCATATGTGTAGTTCTATCAAATCATTCTATTGGAATCTATTGGATGATATGTCTAAGAATCGGAAAGGATCCACTGGTTCTTATGGTTTTCCCAGTTACTAAAACAAACCATCAAATGGTGGATTTCTGGGTCTGTCCGAAAATAGGGTAGCCCGGTAGCGCCAAATCCATTGGTTAGTCATGATATGTCATGATGTTCCCTCTTAAGATGCTTCAAATGCCATCATTTTTGTCGGTGACACCACCTTTTTCAGACCCAAAATGACAGGGATCAGATTTTGATCGAATCTCCAGGCACCTCGATATGTACACCCAGCCTTTCAATCTAATGCCAGCGCAAGGACTTTGACCTCAGCGATCTAGAAAAGAAGACCCAAAAGGAAAACAAAGCTTAAGCTGCCTGATCACTTCTGTATATAATTATATATGTTCACAATGATTAATAGTACATATATATATAATATTATATAATACTTGCAACTACTTCCCAGGGACCTCAGGATTTGACTTCAGACCCTACAACTTGGGGTCTTTCATGAAGTTAGCCAAGGGTTGTCTAGGTTTATTAAGATTCAGTGTAGGCCTTTTGGCCCGGCGTGTTAGGAAAGGTCTTCCATGGATTTTCGCCGTCAAGTTAACATAGAAGGCTGAGTTGGTAACTTCACTTTAGACCTTTTTTCCTCTATGCAACATGTGATCCAACATGTGCCATCATGTTTACACACATAAGATGTGCCAAAGGAAGGCTAAGTTGGGTTATAGCTGGCCAACAGTCAGCACCTGTGGGTCTGGAATGGTTTCCTCCAAGCTCGGAAAACAGATTGAAATACATTGACCTGAGGGAAGATGATGATAGACCCTGTATTTTTTTTTCAAACGCCTTGGTTGGACAAAAAGTTTTGGTATCTACAGAATGGAGATGATGGATGAAAACAAATGTGCAAAGGAATGTAGAAGTAGAAGATGTGCCAAAGGAAGGCTAAGTTGGGTTATAGCTGGCCAACAGTCAGCACCTGAGGGTCTGGAATGGTTTCCTCCAAGCTCGGAAAACAGATTGAAATGCATTGACCTGGGGGAAAATGATGATAGACCCTATATTTTTTTCAAACGCCTTGGTTGGACCAGAAGTGATCAGAAGTGTTGGTATCAACAGAATGGACATGGTGGATGAAAACACATGCGTAAAGGGATGTAGAAGTAGAAGAGGTGTTAAAGGAAGGTTAAGTTGGGTTGTGGCTGGCCCCATGTCAGCACCCTCTGGTCTGGAATGGTTCCCTCCGAGCTTAGAAAAAATGAAACGCATTGACCTGGGGGAAAATGATTATAGACCCTGCATTTTTTCCAAACGCCTTGGTTGGACCAAACGTTTTGGTATCTACAGAATGGAGATGATACATGAAAACAATGGTGAAGAGGGATGTAGAAGAGATGTCAAAGGAAGGCTAAGTTGGGTGATAGTGCAAAAATGATGGTGGCCCAACATAAGCCCAACATAGCAACATAAGTCATCAAGGTTCAAAGGTCTAAGATGAAGTTCTTTGAGGGTTTAATGAAAATTCAGGCAAAGGTCTGGAATGGTATTACCGCCGTAACTTGCGTGGGTCTGAAGTGATCAAGGCCCAAAGGTCTAAAGTGACACTGTTACCATTCCAGACCCTTCCTAGGAAAACCCTTGAGGGTCAATCATTCCAGACCTTAAGTAGTTGAGGGTATATTATATATATATAACATGTGTATTCATGTGTAATCATGTGTTAGCTATAAATAAACAGCAAAAAAAACGCTTTAGACATTCAAAAATTGCAGCCATACAATTGCCATAGCATTGGCGATGTGTGTCTAGGCATGTCTGGGCCGCCTCGCGCATCTGATGAACTCATCACGTTCTCGTATGCTGTTTAGGCGAAAGGTCACACCTCGGTTTAGCACGTTGACTCAACGGCCTTCCAGAAAGGGGGTTCAAACTAAAAAACATCTGCAGCAAAGGTCCAAAAAAATGGTGCAAATTCGAATCTCGAAAAGCAACGCTTAGAATATATGTGCGACGGTCAAAACTCAATTCATGTGGTGAGGTCATGGCATCGCTTCATAAGGCCCCCTATCGCTACACACAGTCCCAGCACCCTTTTCACCAACTAGGCAGAATTGCTGCTAGAAGAGGAGGATCTAGATGAGGAATCGGATTCTTATTCCCCTTGCGATGGTATCTCCAGGGAAATTCAAACTTTTATGTGATCACCAAGGCTGACGTCGACAGCTTCAGCTAGACACCAGCCGGACTCATTGCAGGTCATCTGACCTCGGAGGCTGCCCTTGGCTTGTGTTGGCTTGTCTTGGCTTGTCTTGCCTGTGCTGCCTTGTTTCCGGCGCCTTTTTTTCTTCACCCCGCCTCCTTTGCAACCTAATACCACGCCAAAATGAATCGGCAAAACCCTGACCAAATGAACCCTTTAAGAACTAACCCAGTAAGAACTTGAGGGTACCCTTGTTCATACTTCCCATATTTTTCCACCTATAGCACAAGTTGTATAGTTTCAAGTGACCATGTGGGGTACTCCCTAATTTCATGGATTTCAGGTATCGCTCTGGGTATCGAGGGGTATCGCTTCGGGCATCGCTACGGGGACCAGAAAATGTGTGATCTCAGGTGTATGTTTCAAGTGACATGAAATTCTGACAAGCTCCATGTTGCAATTCTACTCCTGGACAGTGGCTTTGGAGAAGCGTCCGTGACCGCACAAGGATGCTTTTTCAACATATCTCAGCACGGTCACTATCTGAATCAACATCATCACCATCATCATCAGCATCATCACCATCATCAAGCTCATGATGCGTTATGAATTAGTTTCTTGCATACCTTATAGATCAACATACCCCAATATATCAATATTGTTTAATGTAACTATCTCATATATACTTGACGACAGGCCATCTTGCAACTACCCAGGAAGACCAGCCCACTGCGACTGCTCCAGTGTCGCGCTCTGACTTCAAAAGATTGGAAAGTCATGTGCCCAACAGGAAGCTTCAATCATAAACAGAGTCTGAAAAGAGGTATCGCTACATAAGGCCCCCTATCGCTACACGCAGTAAATCACATATTTTGAGTAGTGATGGCGGATCGTAATGGAAGCCTTTCATAGCGTCTTTTGACCCTTGCTCATATATTAAAGCCCGTTTGATGTTGGATATGACAGAGCTTTCCGTGGTTTGATGGTTAGCATGCTGACATGCTGAATCTAATGAATAATCTTTCTTTGTTTACACAATGCACGGCAAAACTCTGGAGCATCCACCACAAATTGCAAAGTTTGCTGGGAAACTTGTCGTATAGTCTCAGTATTCCCTCGATTGATACAGCATACATCAGCATACGTACTCCTTTTCCTGAGGCCTGCTCATTCGTTATTCCGCAGCACCAATGTTGCACACATGTCGTCCTTGGCTTTGGGGCTGAAGACAGAACAGAAACAGTTCGATTTCATGCAACGAATAGCCAGGAAAACTTGTTAAGGGCAGCCAGGGCAGCCATGAAATCTGCAGGACCTGAGTTTGTTGCCAAATCCACTGGCGTGTAGCGTGTCTGAATGCTCTTTCCTGGACCTTATGAACCAACGCGAGGAATGATGGGAAATTACTGTCATTACCAACTCCAAGGGAGTAAGCAATAGGGGGGTATCCTAATGAAGAACATCAGAATTTCAATCTTCTTTGCAAATGTTCTACATCTTTGGTTTGTTTTAAGTTTTCAAAAGCCCTGGACTGAAGATTTCTGCACACAACGTATATACGAGCTTCATAAGATCCACAAGTTGAAATGATGGCGGAAGTGTGAGAGAGAAACCGAACGAAAATCCAAAATCAAACTGTGAAGCGGCAGCTACACATCTTCACCATGATACACTCGCTTTTTTTTGCGTCCAAACATGCCCAAACAGATACATGATAGTCAACATAAGTCAACAATGATTAGCCAGTGGAGTTCCCCATCCTGAAGTCACCTGTTGCGTCAGGCAGCGTGCCCTGGAATGTCCTGGGTTACCCGGCAAAGATCTTTTATGGACTTCAGGGGAACGTCATGGATCACACCTGTTGCGCCAGGGAAAAAAAACACATATCAATTGCCGTAATGTAGAGAAAAGACAATTGATGTATAGAATGGACAGTAGCAGCTTCTAAGGTGAGTACAGTTTCGAGGTTCAACCAACCAGTGACAGTGACTGCCTTGCAAGTGCTACAGTATATGCTTAAGACTTATACAGTTCTTCTGCATTGCGACGCGTCAACAAACAGGCCATGTGTCGCCATCTGTCCTTGGCAAGCAGCCAGGCTTTTAAATGCAGCTTTAGGTCATCTGTAAGGGCA